AGAAATATCCAACAAACATTGTTTAATTTTCCTCCCATGTCACTTATTTTGCATTTGCCTTCCCTTTCTTCTCATTTTCTACCTTCCCCTTTGCATACTCTCGTGCTTGTTTAAGGTTTTCCATTCGCCTTTCGTTGATATCAGCTAGCACTATTGCAGTTGCATACTTCACTCTAAGCAAACCTATCTGCTTTTTGTCGTTCTTTTTTAGCCCAGTCTCCCAACCTTGCATTCCTTCTCCCTTGTAAGTCTCCATGTGCCTCATGGCGAAAATTCCCGAATCATAAAGACTTTTCTGCACCCGCCATGGCATGTTCAACCTTCTTGGTTCCAATTTTTCAATTGCATCTCCCTTATTGTCGAGTCCTTTGCATCTCATTTTGTGAACGAAATATCTTTTCTGCACATTTATAAGTGAAATTAGCAATCATATAATACATATTGCTTCTCATCCATGCAAATTATTATTCTTACCAATCTATTTAAAGAATCTCCATATTTATCCAATGAACACGCCCTTCCTGGTGACGAGTCAAGAACGTCCATCCTCCTAGTTTTCACATTAAAACTGATAACATACCAATGCTTAACTTGCATCACCGGAATGATAAACTGCAATAGACAGATAAATAGTTGAACAAATCTACTCATTCTTTCATTCAACTGCTAACAACATTAATCCAAACTTACCAGATCCATGTCTTTTACCGTTTTCATTTCTTTCACCTTTTCCAACCCCAAATCCAGATTTCTTCCAAATACGTGATATGTTTCCACATCATTTAGTTTCTCCTTTGACGTATATAGCTAAAATATAATTATAATTATAAACACACTAATATGAATGCTGCATTTTTTTTAAATCATTCATTAAACTTACACATGGGAATGCCTTTGCAAACACCCGTCGTGGAGAATCTGGACTCTTAAATTTTTCCTTGAGGTTTAGTATAGTTCCCCACGCATCCATCACATTTTCCCCAATGTATTTATCTTCACCCAATGCCAATAACTCTTCACGTTTAACCTCACCCATATTGTAGTTGAAGAGTATTTCATTCCTGTGAAACAAAAAACAGCTTTATAAAACAAAAACAAATGACATATAATTTTTTTCTATGCATTATGTTGTATACATGTCTGCTTTGTCATTGAGTAACGCCCACTTTCCAGCTGCCCTTTCAAAAGGTCCCCAATTATCATCTGCATCAACAACCCTGCTGATGTATGGAGACTTAAACACTTCTGTTGCTTTAGCCACTCTTTTTTGCTTTAAAGGCCCTTCAGTTTGCACTATTTGATCATGCACTCACACTTCCTGATCTTCAACCCCCTGAATAGTTAATATGTTGGTATTGACTTTTACATTTAAAACGGATATTATAAAATTATTACATTTACATTTATAATCCCATATCACCTCTACATCTTCATTTACATTTTCACCTCCTTGCACATCAAGTAATAGCTCGCTTTCTTTCTGCAAAGCCGAAACTGCATACTTAATTTCACATTATTTGGAATATTTGATTAATTTTAAAAATAAATATGTGTTATACCTCATTCACAGCTTCATTTCCACCTCCTTGCTCATCAACAAATAGCTCTCTTTCTTCCTGCAAAGTCCAAAATACATACTTAACTTCACATTATTTGGTATATTCGATTACTTTTTAAAAATAAATATGTGTTATACCTCATTCACAGCTTTATTTCCACCTCCTTGCACATAAACAAATACCTCTCTTTCTTCCTTCAAAGTCCAAAATACATACTTAACTTCACATTATTTGGTATATTCGATTACTTTTTAAAAATAAATACGTTTTACCTAACTTACCTCATTCACAGCTTCATTTCTGCCTACTAGAGCTCCTTCTGAACGCATTCCCTTTGACATCACAGTATTGTTGTGAACCTCGTTGTTTTCTGAGTCTTGAGTCAACCCTAAACTGAAGCTTGGCATGTCACTTATTATCTTTTTATACTCTGCTCTTTTCATCATTGCATTTACAATGTTATCAATTTCCAAAATATTATTTGGATTCGACCAGAACTGATCATCCCATGTAACTTCTCTTTGACTGCCTGGATTAGTTGTCGTTTTTTCTGGACTAGGCTGGCCTGTTAGTCCTAAAATACTCCTTGCAGCTTCTTGCATTTTCTGGAAATTTTCATTTCCCATTACATCTGGAGGTGCTTGTTGAACCATGTTGATAATTTCTATCAATGTTGCTGCCAACAGATTTATCTTGGAAGCAAATTCCTCCATGAAATTCTGCAAACAAAGTACATCAATCATGGACCTCATATCATCTCAAATACATTTTCATTGATCTCCTATTAAATTATATTAAACACCCAAATTGTAATGTATTATAACTATTCACTTTTTAACCTCCATCACGCAAAGTACCATAACTTTAAAATTTGAAAAACAAATGCATTTTAATAAGTATTTTACTTAACTCTAACCAATAGAATTTAGTTTACTTTTACCTCCTTCACTTCCTCGTCTCTTAGATTCTGTCCTTCAATAACAACACTTCCTTTCTCCTTCATTGCACTTTTCTCTTTAGCTTTGTTCACATTTTCTTCCAAAGTCCTTACTGGATGATATTGTTCATCAACACGCCCCAACCCAAATCCACCAGCCTTTACCTCTTCTGTCTCTCTTGCTCGTAGCAGTGTTGTTGTCCACCCATTCCATGCGGGGATTGTCCTTTGAATATTTCTCCGAAAAACAAAAACTCGGTCTACATACAAAATCTGCAACATTAAATAAACACAAATTACAATTCACACATAATTAAACATTTTTTCATGTGTAGTAACTTCAAATTTCATACCATAAGAAACAGTAGAGGTCCAGTAAAACGTTTCTTATCATTCTTCTCCCACATCCATTCATTTCCTTGATTCTGTCCACGTCCACTAAATTGCTCAAGATTATTGGATTTGCATATGTAACCCTAAATCACAGCCGTCTATTTTCAATTTTGGACGGTTGTGATGCCTTTGCATTTTGCACCTTAGAAGCTCTTTGTAGTAGAATCATATGTACACACACACACACACACACACACACATATATATATATATTCATAATGATGTTTAAAAGAGGTTAAACATATGATTAACCAATGTGAATAGTCTTATGTAAACTAAAATGGTATACTATGCATGTAATTGAATAAAAATGCATATAAAAACATATGTGATATTTTGGATGGCCAAAATGGCATTTATTGATTTTTTAAGACTTAATACATATGGTGTATAGGTTTTGGAGCAAACGGAGTACGTTTCGGAGTTAAAGGGTCGTTGACCTGGGGCAGCATGTGGACCGATGCTGACCAGGGGACTGAACCGGTGCTGGTTTGGTCATTGTGTGACTGGTTCACACTTTTGAAGGTGAACCGGCGCCAGTTCGGTCTTGGGTTTAGGGACCAGTTTTTTATCAAATTCGTTTCGAGGCCTGGTTCAAGGTAGACCGGCCCTGGCCATGCTATATGTGTACATTTTGCATGGAATGTGATGTTTAAATGCTAAGAATTGATATATGAAGATTAAATGTTAAGGCTTAGATTACTCGTTAGTAATGATATGATATAGACCATGATCGGGTGAGGTATATGGTAGATCATAGGATCGGGTGGAGCACCCAGGGACCAGGCGGTGTCCTCAAAACTCATAGGATCGAGTGGAGTATCCAGGGACTGAGCAATGTCCTCAATACTCGGTTATTAAGGGTGGAATATCCAGGGACCAAATTATGTTCTCAAGACTCAGTTATTAAGGGTGGAGTATCCAGGGACCAGGTGGTGTCCTCAAAACTTGGATATTAGGGGTGAAGTACCCAGGACCAGGCGGTGCCTAAACCTTGTTATTATCGGGAGAGTGGCTGGTGGCTTAGTAAGGCTATTAACACTCGATGAATATAATGAACCCTATGTTAGACCGGGGAAGCTAAACAATGGGTCGGATATGAGGAAAGTCAATGACTCAGTCCACCATTAGTTTATTGATTTGATCAAATGATCTACGGGTCAGATGTTTTCCAAGCGTATATACTTGTATGTATTTCAAAGACTTGGGGAAAGTTATTAACGTATGTATCACCCTATGTTTGGGTCTTATACTTGAAAAGTTAGTTATTCTACATTTAGTCTGCTGGTCGCTCGGTATTCGCGTACTGACCCCTTCGAGGCCCCCACCATTTCAGGTTGAAGCTAGAGCTTGCTACATGCACCTTTGCACGGGTGAATTGATCTCAAGGAAAACGTGGTTCATGCTTCCTTTTCTGTTTTGAACTGTAAACTATGTTGATGGATATTTTGTAACGAATACTTTGTTTTGGGCCTGCGAGCCCACTTTTTGCCATATGTGGCCCATGATTAAATATTGAATGTTTCTGCTACTGAGTATGGTATGAACATTGTTCATAAACGCCTCGTACAATCGAGTGAGTGTGGCTCACGGGTGACGTCACTTGATTGTACAACGGTTGTACACGGGCCTAGATGCGGTCTGAGACGTGACAATATGTATGACTAAAATAAAGATTATCTACAAAAATATGAGAAGTGACTAGAATGGTAATGAAATCATAGTTACTACAATTTTTAAATTTTAAGTTACTATGACACTAAATTATACTCCCTCCGTCCCATAAAATAAGTCTCATTTTCCTTTTTGGGTCGTCCTAAAAAATTGTCCCCATTTCCCATTTTGGAAAGTTTTGTGTGGCTAACATTCATTTACGTTTTTCTTACTCAACCACAATCATACATTTCGACTTTATTCCTACTTTCTTAAACTCCGATCCAAATTGAAATGAGACTTATTTTATGGGACGGAGGGTGTAATGACTATTAGGTGTATTTATGTAAAAAAAAAAGAATATGTTAGTAGTATTTTTGAAAAACTATTATTATTTCTGCTTTTATTTTCAAAATCATAGATACATACATTAAAAAAAAACTGAGCGGATGGACAGTTGGTCGGTTGGACCCGGTCGTGATGCCTGCGTATGCGACCGTTAATTTCGTCTCAGCCCTATTTGTTCCTTCCTCCAACCAACGAATCTCCCGCCGACACCCCATACCCACCCTCTCTCTCTTCATTCGCTCTGCTCTCCGATTTTTAGACCCAAAAAGCAAAGCCTTGTCTCAAGAGCGGGTTTTCATCTTCCCACCTGAACCGTAACACTCATTCATTGCTTAAATTCTTCATTGAAGTTTTGATTCTTCACTTTTGTTTGCATATCGTACTATTAGATCGAGTCTAACACATTTGGTGTGTTGATTTTTGCAGAGCGGGAAATGGATCGGTACCAGAAGGTGGAGAAGCCGAGGGAGGAGACTCCTATGAACGAAAATGAGATCAGAATCACCGCGCAGGGGAGGCTGAGGAACTACATTACCTACGCCAATAACCTTCTTCAGGTAATTTTACAGTATTTTGTTAGCAAATGTGGACGTTCTACAGATCCAAACCTTCACGTGGATAGTTTTTTTAATTCATCAAATACATAGGAGTGGATTATCCGTTTGTTTCATCACTGATTTATTTGTGTGTTTAAACCAGCTCGAATTGTAAGAGATCCTTCTGGATTTAAGTTTAGATTATATCATTAAACTGTAAATTCATATTTTAACCTTGAGATTTGATACTTCCAAAGTTGATCTTTGAAATTATGTCCAAATGAACACAACTCGAATTTATTTCAAAGTAATAAACTACTAAGTAATTTGTTAAAGCGAAGATGTGATGAAAATTTGGATACGGGAAATGGAGTTGTAGAACTTTTTTGAAATAGAGGAGGAAATAATGTGTTCAATTGTGATCGGCTCTTGTAATTTTAATATTTTGTTTTAGGATTTCCTTTTTTAGAGATTTAAGCATTACTAATATATTTTGAGTTATGTAAAAATAAGCTTAGATAATGCATCTTTTGGCAGTTCAACAAAAAAAATCTCAACATTATAAAATATAAATTCATAGCTTAACAATGTCAATATACACTGAAAATAATACGAGCAGATTTTTCTGGTAAGAAATTCAGGTAACATGCTTACATAAATAATTCCAATTGAGTCATAAAGAACAAAAAAACACCAACTATTGTTCATAGACAATAGTAATCATAACTTTGTTACTTTGAATCCAGCCACACCTCTGACTCTCATGTTAGCACTTAGGCCGTACTTTTTTACCGAAAAATATGCTTGTATTATATTCCGAGTATTAAAAAGTTGGCTATCAAATTGCAATTTCTAAAGCTGACATTATTTTGAGTACGCGACCAGTAGTTGGTATTTTTTAAGTCGTCCTTTCCTAAATCTCCTATTATTGCTGCTGTAATAGTATGCTTGCATTTTAGTGCAAGTGATGATGAATGAAAAGTATAATGAGAATTGCATACCTTAAACAAGTCGTAATCCTATATCAATGAGGAGAATGGAGCTCTTGATTTTCTTTGCATTTTGTGATAATCCACAATCAACTCCTCGATGTGTTTGTGTTTTAGTGAAATGCCATTTTTCTAAAAAGTCTGATTCTTAATATTCTTGAAAAGAGATTTTTACCTATTATTTAGAGTAGGTAAACTCTCATATACTTTGGGACAGTTTGGGACCAAACAAGCACAACATATTTGGATCAGCCATGTAATTCATAAGTGCTTTCATTTTGTCTTATAGTATCGCTGTTCATCTGTTCAGTTTTGTAAAACTTTGTGCAGGAGAAAGGGGCTAAAGAAATAGCACTCAAGGCAATGGGAAGAGCAATAAATAAAACAGTGATTGTTGCTGAATTGATAAAGGTGGCCGTCAGGCAATTAACTTTTTCCCATTTACGGAGTATATTTTAACTCATATTCTCTAATTACATGTAATTGTTCTTTGTGACAGAGAAGAGTTGCAGGTCTCCATCAGAATACTACAATTGGTTCTGTTGATATCACAGATACATGGGAACCTTTGGAAGAAGGACTTGTTCCGTAATACAGCACTGTGATTTTTCAATTTTCTTTTATTATTTGCTTACTCTGATACAATGAATACTTTCCAAAGCTTCAACTCTTTCCTAATGCAGCCTAGAGACAGTCCGTCATGTGTCTGTGATAACAGTCACCCTGTCCAAGACGGAGTTGAATTGCTCTTCCCCAGGGTAATTATCAATCAGATCATTGAAAATAATTGATTGCTTCTGAAAAGCAATGGCAGTCAATCAAATGGATGATATGCATTTTCTGTCCTGTATGGGAAAAAACAACCATAATATTGATCTTTAAGTTGAAGCGTCTCTCAATTTTGAAACTAATTTACTTCGTGGTGCCTGTAACCGTTCATTGCCTGAAACAAATATAAATTCAGTAGAATCAAGATCTATAGTCATGTTCTACAATGTGCATACTGATTTTAAATTGTCAGTTTTCCGGTGATACATGTCCATAACAACTATCTCATCTCATTACCTTGCTTGATGTTTTCCATGCGAGTTGGAAAAAAACTATGGCAATGATGAAGCTGGCATTTCATCTCGTTATTCCTTCTTTAGAAGGTTGGCACAGGAAGAGAAGCTGACACAACCGCATTATGCATGAATTTGTAGTATTAACTAATTTGAGACAATTAATAAGTTTACAGTGTAAATTCATTTTATGCTTGGGCTCTTTCCCTGTCTCTCTTTTTATGTTAAAGCATTGCAGTGCAGCTATTTTTACCCAAGATAGATAAACCACACTGTTTTGTTGTACTCTACTACTCTTGCAGGTACCAACCACCAATTCCCTCTGATCAAGTGAATTCAGTGGCCACATATGATTATGAAAGGAGTAAGTTACTCATTTAATGGAAGGGAGGATCATATTTTCTGTATATGAATGTTATGATGTTTTCGTTCTCACTCAAATATTCTATACTCTAGTAGCTTACACAACAAAGAAAGAAAAAATTAGAGCTGTGTGCATGTTGAGTTAATAGAATAATATCTTTAAATAGTATTCTACTTTTGAGTTTTGAGCAGGGGCTACAAACAATGGAGTAGTAGTAAGGAATGATGAAGATGGTGGATGGGAAGGAGAGCGCAGTATCACTGGAAGAGGCAGAGGCAGAGGGCGTGGTCTAGGAAGAGGTCGTGGTTATCCAGGACGGGGGAGAGCCTATGTAACTAGAAATGATATCTACAGTGCATCGGGAACAACAATACCTGCTCAAGGTCGTGGTAAGTTCATTTATGTATAGTACAACTTTTTCTTATCTAGCATTATTTATTTCTTTTAGACCTTAATTTTTATTGGACATTAGCTCCTTTCAAATATTTACTTCCGTCGGCCTTTTTGTCTTGCATGGATTTAGTATATATAGTACTCCGTACTAGAAAGGATAATTCATTTTGCTGTGACACATCTTTTTTAACAAGAGGCTATGGTTTCTTTTAGGCAGAGGCAGAAGTAGAGGCAGGGTTCGAGGGAATGGCAGAGGGATGCCCCGCGGAGTGTTCAAACCAAATGTTACCATTCAGGCAGCAGCAGCCTAAGATTTCAGCTGTGCAGCAGCACTTACTTCCCACTTCCCACCGCTTATAGCTTTTCCTATACTGCTTTATATAAGCCACTGCTTTTCTCTATGCAATCGCCACTGTTTGTAGGTTTCAATGGATGGCTTTTTTCTGTTTTAGTGCCAACAGAAACTTGATCCGTATAAAAAAATATTGTTTTCTTGAATAATAGTTCCGGACAATGCATCACTTCTTATTGCCGTGGATAGATATTAATATTTTTAACCGCTCTGCCACACTGCTCAAAAGCCACAATGGTTCAGTGTTGAGAGGCTTTGAGAATTGAGCATTTTCACACACATAAGTAGAAAATACAACAAGCCGGGACACCGGTGGGCGTAGCTTAACTGGTAGCAAGGGAGTAACACAATGGTTACATCCCGGGTTGAAATCTCGCCAACTGCGATGAAGGGTTACTATGCTAAAAGTGCATATGGTCTCTGCAAGTACATCTATCAAATTGGGATTATAGTCCAATTTACATCCTCAGGGTTGGGGGCCCTCAGGGATGGGGTGTCATACTTTTTTTACAACAAGCAGGGACGGTGCCAAACATATGATGACATTTCACCCTCTGTAATCATATACTCCAGTATTACCCCAGTAAGAAAATTTGTTCCTTTTAGCTTGTTTTTTTTTTTGTAAATTTTGGAAGTAAAAGTAAAAAGAAATCCAAGGTAGTGTGAATATTGAGAAGCTAGCCTGGGTGACAGTGAAAGGTAGTGTGAATGTTGGCTCCTCCAAAGTTGAGCATGGTTTTGAATTGACATTGTTATCCAAGTGCAAAGTCATTCATTTACAATAACATGGGAAAGTTGTCATAAAAATGAGGAGTACGTGCTTAGTAGAAATGTGTTTGATGAAGAGAAATGAGGAAAAGAATGGAAGAGCAATTGAAATCTGCAATGCGGAGTAAGAGCAGATAGGTACAAGTACGCCCCCATCGACCTTCTCAGCCCTCAAAATCTGCAGCGGGAAGGTACAAAGTACCCACCGCGCGCGCCAAGGCATTTTCCTTTTCGACTTGAAAGCAAATTCGATGGGCCAGTTGTTGGCTTGGGCCGAGAAGACCGAAAAAGGAATTGGTGCTGTTAAACAGGCTCAGGTATTCCTTGAAAATCGGCTTCGGATGCATGGCTTGGCTTGGCTTCTTCACAGTTTTCTGTCAACAGCTTATATGTGTGTCACAGCTTTGTGCTATGCACCCTTTCCCTCAACACTTTGTTTCTAGCCCTGAGATGCCTAGTGGAAAACAGCATCATCGTCACAAACTAAATCAACAAAATAATTAATAGGCTGCAGACAAAAGATGAGGATTCTTTTGTTCATTTTAATTAATAAATAAATACTTTTTACTGCACCTTCAACTATCACAATTCTATGTGTACATTCCATTTAACTAGCCCAAAATGCAAAACATCCGCATTGCAAAACAACTCACATACCCACCTATGCATAATAATATAATTAGTGAGTTAATCTGTTTATATTGCCATTTTAATTTGCTCTTACTGACAGAGAAGCATAAAAGCAACAATACCTTCATGATCAATATTTCTAATCTATGTCTTACATGTTATAGTTTTAATCTCTTTATAAATGGAGCCGAGCCGAGCCCGAACACCCAAAGCTCGAGTCCGGCTCGATAAGGAATTAGTGGTGTTTGGGTTCGAGCTCGAAGCTCGACGAGCTTTACAAATGAGGCTCGTGTTCGGCTCGATAGGCGTTCGATGTTCGAACCGAGCGCTCGATAAGTTTGATAAATATACTCGAATTTAAAGTTTTAGGTGATACTCGTTAATAGGCATGTGCTCGAATGATTCGAAAAGTATTCGGTTCGTTAATAATTATAGTTAAATTCATAAAATCATACTAACTATATTTAAATTTTTACATATATACTACGTATAAATTATATTTATAATTTCAGGTATTCGATAGGCTCGAGTTCGAATCGAGCCGAATACTACTTACTATGTTCGAGCTCGGGTCGATTAAGTTTTCGAACTTAAAACTCAACTCGGGTTCGAGTTCGAAAGCTCATTAAGCTCGGCTCGTTAGGTTCGAAACCGAGCTCAAACTCGAACAGTCCGATAAAAGCTCGATTCGTTAACAGCCCTAGGGCTAGTATAAAGTAGCAAAGTGCCAAAAAAATTGGCTCCAAAATACACTAATAATCGTAATAGTGATAATAATAATAAATATACTAATAATCCAACTTTAGTAGAAAACTTTTCCTTGTAATCGTAATAGTGTTCTATTTACATGTAAATTCATATAATAATATCAAGCAGTAAAATTGTAATATTTTTTGCTATAACTACTACTTATAATATATTTAATGCCTCCCTTCTTCTTTTCAAAAATCAATACCAATTAAGATTAATTTTAGATTAAGTGCTAAAATAAAAGGCAAAGTATTCTAGGAAACGTGCGTGTCTCTAGTAATACAAGTTGATGGATCGCCGATCCTGGGGTAGCCGGAACCCGGGAAAGTAGTAGGAGAAGATCGGGAAAACTAAGTGAGATCAAGTAAGTATTTCAGCAGAGTAACATCAAGAGAATTCAATTGCGGATCTTCTTCCACTGGTTGGAAGGTGATATTTATACTAAAGGAGTAATACTTGGTGCCTAAGTAAAAAGGATGTTATTCTATTGTGGAGAGGATGTGAGTCCTGCCTGTCTAATCTACTAGCGTGTTGCCACGTGTAAAGGTGATTGAAGAGGTAAATGGAACAACTGGCTGATTGGAACTGCCTGTAACAAACTACCGGAATACACATGCAGGTTACACGTGTATTATCCGGAGTATTCTTCCTTCTATCCGCTGGGAGTGACGTGGCACCTGATGGATAATCGATACCCATATTGTAGAAACTAGGAAAGATTGAACAAGAAGGGAGAGAAGTGTATTGAATGTGTGTTTATGAGATGTGTTTACAAGCTCCAAAAAGGAGTATAAATAGAGAAGTCCGGGTCTGGGCCTCTAATATGGGTCTGACAAACCCAGTTACATAAAATGACCGATAATATAAAAGGCTAATCTAGAACACTCGAATAATAATAATGTACAATAATGTAAATGTTATCTTCTGAGCGTACATGGGCCGCTGTCCAGGCCCAATAGTCGGCAGGCCGGGGGGTCGGGGTCCATATACTCCATCAGGAGTCCCCCACTTCCTGAGCCGAGAGTACTCGAGGTGAAAGGGAGTAGTCTATAATTGTATCTGCAACGTTCTTCTGTCTTTGGGTTCTTCGTCTTCGGCCGGGGGATCACCACCTTGTCCATGATGGGAAGATGCCTCGTTAAAAACCTTTACTAGGAAAAAACTCAGTGGGAAAAAATCCTAATAAAAGGAAAAAGAGTACACCTAGCGCCCCCAACATGAAACAAGGAAGGTAAGTTCCCTCCGGCATAATCAATTTTGTCTAGCTCAGCTCCTCTTCATCTGACTCAACTTTCGTTCTTGATCATGCGTAATATTTTCTGCTCATCTAGAAACTCTGACCCCTTAGTCCCCCAGTCCCTCACTCCTTGAGGCGAGTGGAGACGAGGTGAAAATGAGTAAAGTCATCTTTGTACCTACACATTTAACATACATATAAAAATTTTTCTTGGGTTTGTGTTTCCGATCGGGTGTTCGTCACTTGAAAAAAGTAGAAATGTGAATTGCCAATGTAATGATAAAATACTTAGTAGAGTGGATGTGTGAGCCATTCGTACGCAACGGTCGCCACTCTTGGAATGACTAAGACCGGACTTCATGCCTGACTTGGTCGGAGCTTTGTACCTGAGCTGGTCAGGGCTTTGTGCCTGATCTTGGTCAGGGCTTTCAATCCTAGTGATGGGTCTCAAGTCACAGTCTACTAGGCATTTGATCAAAATTGTGTGATAATTTGACATTCGCCCGATAAAAGGAAATGATTTAAATAAATATAAATAATATGAAAATTAAAAAGTACTTATCTTTTGATGGACTGAAATATTGGATTGCTTGGGCTGAAATTGAGGCCCGTTCTAATGGTGAGAATCGTTCTTGGGCTTGATGTACTCTTGGCCCACTGGGTTTTGACCGAGCTAGGTCTTGGGGGAAAACCCACTGTGTCATTCATTCCAAAGATCAACTCTGAGTGGCTGTTAGACAAATCACCCTCTGGAGCCCCCGTCTGATGCGGATGAAGAAACATTGAAGGAGGAAGCACCAGAAAATTGAAGGAGGAAGCACCGGACGTGGGTGGACCTTCGGCACTCCGCTGCTGATGCGTCTTGGGGCGCTGTGGCCTTAGAGTCTGTCATCCTCAGAGGCTCATCTTCGTCACTCTGTTCTCTGGCTAGGTTATAGATGATGGTCAAGTCGCCGGAGATGACGCTGACCACGGCGGAATCGGTCGAAATGTTCCGGAGGACCACCTGCTACCTCAAGTTATAACCCGTCGGCCGCCGCTGGTCTGGGTTGGGTCCTTCGTCACAACCTCTGGCCAATTTGCGCAGCTGGCTTCACTCTAATGGAGGTGGAGAAGCAGGCCTCGAACAGTTGTTGGCGACGCTACAATGGCTGTGGGCTACGACGAGATCTGGCAGTGTAGCAGCAACGACCCACGCCCTCCTCAGGTTAGCTTCTAGCTTGAGAAACAGAGCCTTGCAACACCATTAATGGCGGAAGCGCTAGAGAGAGGTGTGACTGGTGAGCGCGGTGCGACGGTGATGGTCCCTTTGTTGGCGACGGTGATGACCACCAACATCGGATCTGGCCGGAAAAATCCCAGATATCAAATTCCATTTTTGTTACGACGTCCCAAACTTCACCAGGTGCAGCGGCAGACGGCGGATGGGGCGCGGCAGTGCTCGGCGGCCTAGATATTTCATTTCCATATCTTTATTTTTCTGCCGTTCCTGACATTTTCAGAACTGTTTTTGACTCATTTCTTGTATTTTGGATGAATTTTTTGTTGTTTTTGGGAGTTTTCTCACTTGATTGTGTTCAAACCTCTCAACGAGAGCACCATTTGATGGATAATCGATACCCATATTGTATAAACTAGGAGAGATTGAACAAGAAGGGAGAGAAGTGTATTGAATGTGTGTTTATGAGATGTGTTTACAAGCTCCAAAAAGGAGTATAAATAGAGAAATCCGGGATTGGGCCTCTAATATGGGTCTGACAGACCCGGTTACATAAAATGACTGATAATATAAAAGGTTAATCT